TGATCATATGTTCTATATTCTCTGATCGTTTTTATGTCTGTATTGTTAAGTAGAGTCCGTTGGGTATTTGCAACTAAAAACCTTTAGGTTTTTCGAGATTAGCGTTTTATGATTTTTAACTTACATGTTTGCGTTTGTGATGATGTGTACTATATTCCCTAATAGTTTTTAAGTCTAAATCATTAAATAGAGTCCGTTGGGTTTTTGCAATTAAAAACCTCTAGGTTTTTCGATATTAGGGTTTTGTGATGTTTAACCTACATATTTATGTTTGTGATGATGTGTACTATATTCTCTAATAGTTTTTAAGTTTATATCATTAAGTAGAGTCCGTTGGGTTTTTGCATTTAAAAACCGCTAGGTTTTTCGAGATTAGGGCTTTGTGATGATTGACCTACATATTTATGTTTGTGATGATGTGTACTATATTGTCTAATGGTTTTTAAGTTTCTATCATTAAGTAGAGTCCGTTGGGTTTTAGCAATTAAAAACCCCTAGGTTTTTCGAGATTACGGTTTTGTGATGTTAAAACTATATATTTATGTTTGTGATGATGTGTACTATATTCTCTAATAGTTTTTAAGTTTCTGTCATTAAGTAGAGTCCGGTCGGTTTTTGCATTTAAAAACCCCTAGGTTTTTCGAAATTAGGGTTTTGTGATGTTTAACCTATATATTTATGTTTGTGATCATGTGTTCTATATTCTCTGATGGTTTTTATGTCTGTATTGTTAAGTAGAGTCCGTTGGGTATTTGCATTTAAAAACCCCTAGGGTTTTCGAGATTAGGGTCTTGTGATGTTTAACCTATATATTTATGTTTGTGAGGGTGTGTACTATATTGTCTAATCGTTTTTAAGTTTCTATCATTAAGTAGAGTCCGGTCGGTTTTTGCATTTAAAAACCGGCAGGTTTTTCGAGATTAGGGCTTTGTGATGTTTGACCTACATATTTATGTTTGTGATGATGTGTACTGTATTGTCTAATCGTTTTTAAGTTTCTATCATTAAGTAGAGTCCGTTGGGTTTTTGCAATTAAAAACCCCTAGGTTTTTCGAAATTAGGGTTTTGTGATGTGTAACCTATATATTTATGTTTGTTAATATGTGTACAATATTCTCTGATGGTTTTGAAGTTTCTATCATTAAGTAGAGTCCGTTGGGTTTTAGCAATTAAAAACCTCTAGGTTTTTCGATATTAGGGTTTTGTGATGTTTAACCTATATATTTATGTTTGTGATCATGTGTTCTATATTCTCTGATGGTTTTTATGTCTGTATTGTTAAGTAGAGTCCGTTGGGTATTTGCATTTAAAAACCCCTAGGTTTTTCGAGATTAGTGTTTTGTGATGTTTAACCTATATATTTATGTTTGTGATCATGTGTACTACATTCTCTGATGGTTTTTATGTCTCTATTGTTAAGTAGAGGCCGTTGGGTTTTTGCATTTAAAAACCCCTAGGGTTTTCGAGATTAGGGTTTTGTGATGTTTAACCGATATATTTATGTTTGTGATCATGTGTTCTATATTTTCTGATGGTTTTTATGTCTCTATTGTTAAGTAGAGTGCGCTTGGTATTTGCATTTAAAAACCCCTAGGTTTTTCGAGATTA